GTGAAAGTGAGAATATTAATAAAAAGAGTATTTGTTATTTATAACTACTTAGTATTTCATATACCAAGTAGTTTTTTAAATATGTAACCAAAAAAAATGGAAGGAGTAAATCAAATTGCTTATTCAAATGCTAAAATACAATATGAAAATTGTAAATTTTTTGAAGAAAGATTTTTGACGACATTACATTTGCTACAATAGTTGAATAAAGATAATGGACTTGAAATTGAAGATATTTCAAATCGTATTAAAGTATCTCTTGAAACAAATAGAAACTTAAAAAGAAGTGCTAAAGAAATAATTGATGAGTTTGAAATTGATCAACATGAATTCTCATTATGTGTACTTGTTAGTGATAAAAAGAAAGTATGGATTAGTAGAAGAAATAATCCAAAAAAAGATTATTATGACCATTATCAAGCAACAGGAGGAAGAAAAGAAATATATGAAACATATCAACAATGTGCGATACGTGAAGCAAAAGAAGAAGCAAACATTACACTTACTGAAAATGATTTAAAATATGTTAATTTAAGCAAAGGATTCAGAGTTTTTCCAGGTGATGATAAAGAAGTTTTATATTCAACTGCTATTTATTTTGCAAATATTGGAGATAAAGTTCCAGAACATACAGAACCAGATAGGAATGATAAATAGGAATTAGTAGATCTTAAAGATTTATTCAAATTTACTTTAACTAAATCTTTACAAGAGAATTTACCAAAGATCATTGAGATGATTAATAACGCGATCAAACCAAATAGTAGAAAAAGAAAAAAACCAAATAGTGAAAATCATGTTATTGAAAATAATATTAATGATAATAGTAGTGAAATGGAAGAAAATATTGTGACTAGTCCAATAGTTGAATAGATTTTTTTTTAACTTTTATTTTTTATTTAATAAACATAATCTACTTAGTATTTTATACCAAGTAGAATTTTAACAATGTAACTTAACAACAATGGATCATCTTAAAAATTACAAATATTTACTCAAACAACTAAATGAAGAATTAGAGAAACAAGATATTCAATTTTCAAATATCTATTATATTAAAAAAATGTTAATTAAAGAATCAAATAAAGATTTTACTACAGGATTAGATGTTTTTGATGTAGTTAATGCTACGATTAAAACATTAAAAACTGAAACTATTATTCTTTTAAACAAAGTTTTATTGAAGATCAAAAATGATAAAGATAATTATGCATTTGAAGAGTATCATTATAAATCAGATGATGAAAGATTACAATATTTAAATGTAGTATTGTAGAAACAAATATATATTTTGTATTCTGTTCAGTAAAAGATTACCGAACAGAAATTTAATCATGTAAAAAAGAAAATGTCTCAAAACGAATTTGAACAAATTGATTTAAATTTATATCAAATACTTTCAGAGAGTTTTGATAAAGAAGAATTAGATGATAATTCAATTATTTCAATAGTTTTTGATTATATGAAATCAAAACAAAAAATTTCAAAAGATAATACTGAAAATTTTATCACTATAAATCAAGTTGACTCAAAAAATATTCATGAAGCATTACAAGATCGTATTTATTTTTCAGATCTTGATACTTTAAAAGATATTAAAATAGATATGATTTCATTCGATTCCGAAGATAGTGAGATAAAATATGAGTTAACAAAGATTCAAAATCAAATATTACAAGAATATATGAATGAAATTTATGTCTCTGTAAACAATGAGGGATGGAGACGTTACTTGTTAAGGAAAAGAAAATTAAATGAGTATATAGTCAAATATAATGAGAAATATTTTCAAAGTAACCAAGAAAATGAATATATTGATAAAGAAAATGAAGAATTTTAATTTTGTATAATATTTTTTTAGTTTATCATATATTTAGCAAATATAATCTATCTAGTGAAAGATCACCAGATAGAATTTTACCTACGTAATTCTATATAAAAATGAATTTAGAAGAAGCAATCAATGATAGTAATTATTATCAAGATGAGGAAATATTAAAAGAAATTTTAACAAATTACAAAGAATTAACTGATGAAATAATTGAAATTGGTAGCAATGTTTTTCATGAATATGGAAATGATAAAGATTTTTTATCAGCAGTAAATAATGAAACTATAAGACGTCTTTTGAAAGAAAAAAGAAAATTAAACGAATATTTGTACAAATACAAAGTAAAATATAATCAAGAAATTATCAACAAAAGCAAAGAAAGATTAAGAAAACTTGTAGAGAAAAAAGAATTCACAATAATTAATGTAAATTTTACTGAGTATAAATCTACAATTATTACTATTAATAGAAAAAATCTTACAAATACATTAGTAATTAATGATGAGAAGGGAAAAAAATTTTATTATAGTTTTATTGCAATAGAAGAGAAAGATAACATTATTTTCAAAAAAGGTTTTTAATTTCATTCAATATTCTATCATATTTTTATTAAATAAATATAATCTGTTTAGTGAGTAATCACCAAACAGAAATTTAACTACGTAATTAATAACGATGCCTGAATCAAAGGTAAGATTTTAATCTTGCTTAGTACTGAGATTTTGTATACGCTGCTACTAGAACATATTGGTTTGATTCTGAATTCTGATCATACAATATTCATCAGATGATTAGATGAGGATCAGATTAGTATTCGAAGGATGTGGTGAATTTCATAGCATTGTAGTGAAAAGATCTTATAGTTCAAATCCTGTTTGTTGAATGTGGTGAATTTTCATAGCATGATACAGATGTACTAACATTTTTTAAAAAATATAGAAAAGAAAATCAACAACAGAAATTGGAGATGATTATGAAGCAAAACTAATGATGACCTTGTTCAAAATGGATTTAATGCATATATTACTAAGACAAAAATTAAGAAAGATGGGAAACTGATATGTGTTGGAGATGGAGGAATTGATTTGTTTGGAAGTTATATGAATATGCATTATATAATTCAAGCTAAATGTAGAACTGATGAAGAATCATATATTCCTCCTAGTGAAATTAGTAAATTCATAGCAGTTTTGATGCAACAACCTGAAAATACAGTAGGGTTTTTTGTATCTAATGCAAAATATTCAACAAGATCTCAGAATCTTGCGAATAATTCTAGAGTAAAATTGATATTATATAATGATGATAATTTAATCGATAAAATCAAAGAAGTTCAGAGATTATATTCTGATTCAGATCGTGATATTATAAGTATTGAAGATATAACAACTGATGAAAACACAAAAACAGAAATTTTTGGTATAAAATTTGAAGGAAAGATTAGGATAGGAAAACTTAGAAAGATTAAAAATTCTCCATATTGATATAATGTTATTTTATTCATTCAGTGTATTACACCGAATGAATTTTTTTCTAGATAATCAATAAAAAAATGTTTAAAAGAAAGACTACAAAATATCTTGATGAACTTGAATCATCTGTAAAAAAGTTATGTGAGATCGTACATGATGAAAAAGAATATGTATTTGATAAAGGAAATATGACTGAAGCAGAAAGAATTATAATTGAAGAAGAAATCAATGATACTTTTCAGATTGTTAGACATGAATTTCAACCAGATTTTGATAAAAGAATTGAACAAGAATCTTTTAAATGTTTAAAAAGAAGTTATCCATTTAATTTTTGCAAGACATTTAAAAGACAAAAAGTTGATCCAAAAGTTATTGTGTTGACAGGAACAATTGGAGTTGGAAAGACAACATTTGGAGAAAAATTTGCAAGATATCTAGAAGATGAAGGATTTAGAGTATACCGACCTATTGAAACATCATTAAAAATAAAACGTGAATTAGATTTATTCTATAAAGATGTTGAGAATCGTGCTTTGTTTTTTCAACATGTAATCTTAGAAACTTACAGAGAAGAAGTAGAAAAAATAAATCGATTAACTGGTTATGATTATGTGATCTTTGATCGTACACATATTGATACTGAAGTATTTACTCATCTTAATATCAAAGAACAGGATGCTTTAGACTATTTACAAGAAAAAAGATCAGAAATAAATCTTAAAAATATTCATAAGGTTATTTATATTAAACCAAGAATTGAAAATATGCTAAAACGACAAGAGATAAGAAATCAACAAGGAGAGACTACAGATGTAGAATATTTAACCAAGTTGTATCAAGAATATGATTCTAGAATTATGAAAATGTATCCTGAACATATCAAGTTCGAGAACAATTGTTCTAATGAAGAGGATCATAAACCAGCTGATTGTTGTTTCAAAGAATATAATTCAATGTTTGAAAAACTTATATCATAGTAATATTTTATTTTTTTTTGTATACATATCTGTTCAGTATTTTTTTACTGAACAGAAATTTAATCATGTAAAAATACTTAGTAATTATTACTGAGCAATTTTTTAACTATTTAATAATTATGTATTTTGATATTTTGGTTGAGATATTTTTATATCTAACTTCAAGAGAACAAGTGAAATTAAGAAGAACAAACAAATTATTTAATTATGTATATATATACCTTGATATTAAAGAAGAAATACATAGATTTTATGAGTTTGTTTATGTATGAAGAGTATTAATTTACAGATTCAAACTCACTAAAGATAAAAAATATGTATGGATAAAACTTAAAGATAAGGCAGAAAAAAGAGAACTAATGCGAGATAAAGATGGAAATTATTATTATAAAGAAGTTAATTTAAATGTTTATATTTACAAATGTGATCTTGTTAGAGTAAAAGAATTATATATAGATTATTACGATTCTTGTAATTATTTAGATTATTATACTTATTTATCTCAAGGATCATATTTATATGATTATAAATGTGATATATGTGAAAAAAAGGAGTCTCATTATCATAAAATATGTGGAAAATGTTATAATTCAATTTATTCAAAAACTATTGGATTTGTAAAAGAAACAATTTTTGTTGAATGATCTAGTTAGTCAAAAGACCAACTAGATTTTTATTTATGTAAAAAATGTCTAAACGACAAGAACTGATTAATGAAATTGAATCAAATCTATTTTTTGTATATGATGCAACAGATTCAACAGATTAAAAGAATAATTATGTTTTACAATTATTCATTGTGAAATTAGATGGAACAAAAAGTATAATTGATATATCAGTTCCAGATATATTTTTTGATATCAAGTTATCTGATCCAAGCTTAATTGAAAGTTACGATAAAGAATTTAATCCAGAAAGTTATGAAGTGATAACCAAACAACCATTTGATTCAGGAGAAAAATATGATTTTCTACAATTATATTACCAGAATCATAAAGACAGAAAAAAAGTACTTGATTCGATGATAAAGATAAAAGATGATTTGAATGAAGAATTAGAAGAGATAAAATTAAATCGAAAAGAAATAACATTAGATAAAGATAAAAAACCTGTGAAATTAAAAGTAAAAATAGACAAAAAGATATTAGAAGAAAGAGAGAAAAT